AATTTGTTACCTCAGACTGCTTCCCTTTGGTTTTGCTCTGCTGTGACGTTTTCACCTGCTCGTGGTAATTTTCAACAAGACACGCTGCCAGCACATAGAGTTTCTTCACCCGCAGTGGTCGTGTCCTTTTCTTTGCCTCCTCATCTGCTATCTGCAAACAGTAGCCATTCATTTCACTGCATGTGCTACAAACAGGCTGATCCAACACTTATCACACCTCCAAATTTCATTACATATCATGAAAAGTTGTCTGTTAGGTCCCCAATGTGATTTACCTTTAGTCATAATATCAACCCTGTTGAAAACTAGAGCCTGACCAATATATTGTCCTATTAGAAATATATTGTTAACAGAATACATGATACATCTATATAAAAACTTTATTTTACAAAACATAATGAAGAAAGAAAAGCTTTAGAAATTGTGTCATGACATAACCTGTCCAGCAGAGTGCGCTCCAATTCCATTGCTTACAATACACTCAATACTGTCTGCAGGACATGTAGCTTGAGATTGAACCAAAAGCTCTATCACCCAGGCTGCTCTAAAGGTGCGGATGAAAGTTGAAAATGGGACCAGTTACAGTGTATATCAGGTGATTTATTTTGAAAGGGACGTGTTCATATAAATGAAGACGCCAATTATGTTCTACTGAAACAGCATAAAAAAGCAAGCCTACCTTAAACATGAGTTTGGCTGCATCAAGAAAATGGTGGGCTTTCCGATACAGTTCCACTGCTTCCAGAGTTTTGTTCTTCTCAAGAAGATGTGAGGCGTATTTAGACAGAAGAGATTTAATCTCCTTCATGTTGTGGGTCCTGGCAAGTTCCACTGCTTTGTTCCACTAAAAGAAATAACAACGTTCATCCAAAAACAAAACAACATTTTAAGCAGTAGATTTTTGAACATGATATTAAAACAGTGTTTATTTTTTACTGCTGCATTACTTGAAATGAATCTAATTAGTCTAATCTAACTGTAATTAAATAAAGTGAAACACTACAACTAGTGACCATGTTGCTGTGGGAGCATACCAACTATGGTATCCATGAGTACCAGAAGTAAACATTTTGATTTTGATTATATCATCATATTATTTTAACCATCCAATGTAGACTTTCCTCCAGCTATGAAATTGTGAAATATTGCTGTACTTTGCTGTTGAAGTCTGTATGATATCAACTGCATTGTAATAAATAGTTTTATTCATACTGTCAAAGAGAAGTACACCACCTACAATCTTCAGGTGTACTAGCGACATCTCTGACCGGTGGACCTCGAATGGATATTTTTACAAAACAATAGGAAGGTTCAGCATTTCATGACGTTTACCACAGAGCCTCCACAATTCCCCTTTCTGCCTTTTTTTAGAGGTGAGGAAAACAGTATTAATGGGATGCGTTGTTCTTTCAATCTTAAAATAATGATGTACACAGTTTGAACCTGTAATACTGGTAGTGACGCTATCATGGTGACAAAACTGACTTAAAACAAGCTCAGTGGCAGTTCCCACAATAGTATCTGTCTTCAAGATCACAATGACACACAGACTAACAACTTGAAAACAAGCCACACTGTCATTACTGTAGTTGCTGTACATATCTTACTATCAATAAGAGCTGAACATTAGAAGACAGTGTATTTTTAAAACCATCTGTGGTAAAATGGAGGTTTAGTGGAGACAATTAAAGTGACAGACCATTCATTTCACTGTCAGTAACAGTAGTAGCAACGCAGTATTAACGCAGCAGGAGGAACTGCCAGGAAGAGAGGGAGGAGGGATATAGCTCGTCACTTCTCCTTTTAGGTGAACAGGGTCAATTTCGAAACAAATTGTAAGTCCATTGAAGTAAAGCCAACTGTGGCTCAGCAGTATAATGTATTGTATAAAGGACCACACTGCAGTTTCCATAGAAGAGTTTGATTCTGAACTATTGTCAAACAAATCTTGTTAATATTTTCCTGTTTTATGTCATTTCCATCCAGAATCTGTTTTCCTTGAGCCAAATGCGGAAATTTACACTGGAGCAGTGTACAGTGGTTTGAGAGCAGCATTCACACTCCGGAGCTAAATATCACTCAGGACGAGGACAGGAGTGGGAGGACAGCAGGTGCCACAGTGACTGCTGTGGTGCAAAGCCGTCAAACAGTGTGATGAATCTGAAGGTCGCTGAGGCACTGCCATATGTTCCTCAGAGTTTCACACAGAAACTCTGGCGCCATTAGTTTACCGTCTCTCTCTCACCTGGTTCAGATGAACACATGCGTCAACGGCAGCTTTGGGCTGGTTGCACTTTAGGTAGGCGTTCACAGCTTGTTCACACATGCCCACGGTGGCAAACATCTGCCCAATCTCCTACAACACAGAGATAGAACAGTTATCGATGAGACACTGTGGAGTCGGTTTATATTTCAGAGTCACTGAGATTTTTACTTTTAAATCTTAACAAAAATATTTAAGAATTATTATTACTTCATCTTTAACACTTGGCTTACCGGTAAAAGTTTATGATTCTCTGGCAGCACAGTGGTCAGTCTCTCAAGGCCGTCATAGTCCTCTAGCATGTAGTAGCATTCTGCCAGCCTCTCCTGGTTACGGCCCTGAAGGTAGTACTGCACTGCATTAACCCTGCAAACAGAAGACATGTTTGGTCACGATAACGGAAACTGTGTTTTAGCAACAATCACATTACCACATCTGATTATTTGCATTCTAGTTATTAAGAATATATATATATATATTTATATAAACAACTGAATATTAATAATTATATTAAATGATATTGAGACCAAAACTTGAGTTTGAATAGTTGTATTTTCTGTATATTCATCTGTTGCTCTATGCTCTCAAATAAAGCAAATCCCCTGCAAAAACAACAAAATGAACTCTTTTCATTCTGTCTCTGCTTTATGCTCCAATTAACACTTCAAAATGTCCACATATGTTCTTACAGCTACATTACAGTATAAGAAGCCATATTTCAAGTGTTTACTGCATAAATGATAAATAGGATAAATGTTACTGAAAATGCAAAATATTTCATATTTGAAGTATTATTCAGTAATTAAGCACTAATGATATAATTACAAAAAAGAAAAACCCAGTACCACTTCTGTCTGTCAGCAAAGTAGTCTCCGATGGCATTGTACGCCTGTTCCAGCAGAGTATCATCACAGTCCCCAGAGCCAGTTTTAAGCAGCTGAAGAACCCTGAACCAGTCGCCCAGCTTGATCCTGAGGCTAATGGCGAGGTCCCTACAGAGAACAACACGTCCGTTATCCACCCTCACCTTCATACCTGCTGACAGCTCATCATATAAGGTTGCCATTAAATATATCACACACAAATAAACAAGAATGTGACCTGAATGAAATAGTCCAAGGACAAATTCTGTTATTATCATGAAATTGTGGATAAACGTACCTGCGATCCATATCCAGATACATCCGCTCAGCTTCCTCAAACCTGCCGAAGTATGCTGCCACCTCGGCCTGTTTCATAGGCTCGCTCTGCAGGTTGCCCAGGCGCTTGACAAACTCAATGCCCTGGTAGTCTTTACAACGGACAAAGGCCTGCTCAGCCGTCTTCAGATCCAGCTTCTGAAGAGCTGCCTCAGCTAGCAGACGCCTGACAGGTTGTCAGAGAACAGGGGTGGTTAGTTATTATTACCAGGACAGCATATATATATATATATATATATATATATATGCATTAGTTAATAAGTGGTTAATTCCATCATAATGGAATAGCGCTAGTATCAGAGCTGTATGAAGTCATTTTCAAATCAATTTCTAAGACTGTTACTTCTAACTATAAATCAATAGTTATTTTTTGTTGATACCATGTTAAAGAGGTCTTGATTCTGCTGTATTTATTCTGGAAGCTGATATGTTGGCTGCTTTTGAACTGTGTGGCTATATTCAGAGAGGTTTGTCTTTTATTCACACACTGTCAACATAACTGCATTAGCCTTAACTGAACTGAATAATCACTGTGTGATCATTCACAAAAACTAAAATATAATTTTAATTTATACAATTACACTTTAAACTTACCAGAGTCTTGGGTGAGGGTTGTCTTCAATGAACTGTGAGGCATCTTCAATCCCAACTTTTTCAATCAGAGCTCGACTGTCTCTCAGGGAGCGGATTTCAAAGTTGATGAGGTTGTCTTTGTTCGGCCTCTCTGGATCCTGTAAGAGAACCTCCCAGAACTGAGTGTTTCTTTCAATAATAACTTATCATCAAGATGTTGATAAAGAATTTGAAGAATACTTGGATTCTGTTCATATTCCTATTGTGATGTTTCTTTAAGTTATAAAGAATATATGCTTGGCTACACATCTGTAATAGCCTTGGTAAGTAAGACAACCTAAGTGCCACTTGTTTAAAAGGTTTACCTTCATGATTTCATCAAGCAGGACAGATTTGATTTCCAGGTCTTCAAAGTTGCAAATGTATCCAGATGTTTGGATGGGCTCCTGTTTGGTTCAGATAAAATAAATGCAAAAGTGTAGATCAGGTTACAGCTTTGAAAAAAATATGATATGATACTCACACAAGCACTCACCTCTGGGTCTAGGTTCCTGAAGACATACATCCTGGTCTTTTCCATCATGGCGAACAGATCAGGGTTGTCATTCGCCCATTTCATGTCCCAGACATCCTTGCGCTCAAACTTGGACGGATCTCCCACAGATACCTGGTTCCCAGTGATGTTGTCAGTGGAGGCACGAACGTCCAGGTCCAACAGAGTCAGCACGCCTGCGATGTCGATTATTGCCAGACGACTGAAGACAAAAGAAAAAGATCCCCTGTGACAATACTGTTCCATAATTCAACATTAAATTTTATTAACTGTTGCTAATAATGGCCATGAGCTCCCTCTCTGATTTATTGTCCTTACCTGGAGTTGCAGTTAATGGACAGATAGTGGGCTCTGTTGTTCAAAGTGTATTTCTGGATGATACCAACATTTGGGAGACTGTATCTGTGGATGATGCCAGACTCACGGCCCTGTGGGCACAAATACTCATTTTTTTACTTGAATTTTACTTTTCAATTTATTGAAAATATTCAGAGATGACAAACTTACATAGAAACCTTACATAGAAAATATAAAGAGGAAATTGAATAAAGGTATTGCAGTGCTGTACAGAGTAAAGGACACTTTAGATGTTGCTAATCTATATACTTTGCAATGTTATCATTATTCTTCAATATTGTGGCTATTGCACTTGAAATACATACAAAACTAACATTACACACTTGTATGTTTTACAGAAAAAAAGCAATAAAACTTATGAACAAGGTCAATCTAAGAGAATGTACCAATAGACTGTTAATCAAGTCACATGTGTTGAAACTTTAAAGATTTTGTTGACTTTAGAATATTGTTGATTATGTGTAAAGTCAGAAATGGCCTGTTAGC